AACTGACAATCCTGTCCGAACAGGTGCTTGTGACCTACTGATGGAGGTATTTGTGCAAACCCTCCTTAAAGACTCTCAGGGATTGTGTGGATTGCATAACAATTGGAAGGTTATTCCACACACTAACAGCCCTGTACATGAAACACTTCTTCCGTGCGTTGGTTCTAGGTTTATCTAACAGAAAAGACTGTTTAGCAGCAAAACGGGTTCTATAGCTATGCAAGTTGTTGACAGAACGCAGTTGCCTACTGATACAAATAGGTTCGTTAGTGAGTGTTATCCTTTTAAATGTTGTCATGGTGTTTATTAACAATCTCGTGTGCACAGGTTTCCACTGTGGCTTCGACTGAAACAGACGAGTTGCCTTGTTCTGCATTCGTTGTAGAAGGTTTATGTTAGTTTTAGTTGTGCATGACCAAACTGGGCTACAATAATCAATGTGAGATAGTACAAGGCATTCTATTACAATTTTTAACAATGTCTGATCCATAAAGTGTGCACATCTTTTGATCATCCCCAGTGATCTGGCCATTTTCTTAGATGTTAATTTTGTGTGAGTATTCCAGGTAAGGTCACTCATCGTACTGTCGAACCAAGTAGTTTTACCTCTGAGACCTGTTCGATAACCTTACCATTTGCAGTTAGTGTGAGTTTGGGTTTAGCAGACATTTTGGGCTTGCTCCCCAGTACAATACATTTTGTTTTTGAAGTGTTCAAGAAAAGCTGGTTCACTCTTACCCAGTTACAGATGTTGTTTACCTCTGTCTGTAGATTACGTGAGATAGTTTCAATAGAAGGAGCGCATATGTAGGCTGATGTGTCATCAGCGTACATATCCGCTGTGGCCTGAGCGATGGCAAGTGGTAGATCATTAGTATAAATGGTAAAAAGAAGGGGCCCTAAACAGCTCCCCTGTGGCACACCGCAAGGCAGTTCCTTATTTGTGTGGCCCTTTCATTTGTGGACCAGGTAAGGCACCCTACAGGTGATATTGGTGTGGCCCATTCATCTGGGAACCAGGTTAGGCACCGTACAGGTAATGTTTGTGTAGCCTTTTCATCTGGTGATCAGGTAAGGCACCCTATAGGTAAACTTTGCATGGCCCTTTCATCTTTGGACTAGGTAAGTCACAGGTAATATACAGGTAATATCTGTATGGCCCTATTAAAAAAAGTATTATCTGGAGACAAAGTAAGGTTACCGTACCATATAGGTAATTTTTGTATGGTTTATAGGTTTTGGGGCCTGGTAAGACCATACAATTTATCTTTGTTTGTTTGGTCTTTTGGACCTTTGATTTTTTCGTCATTGACATTTTTTATATGCTAGTGTTTAGATTGCTAGTGTCTAGAATATTTCTCTTCTTTTTTTCAGGGCATTTGCCAGAAAGGAGAAACTGATTGCACAGCAGGAAATGGAGATGTCAATGCATTAAATTCCGGAATTGTTGGAAGTGCCAGCTTTAGTTCATAACAACAACATGAATACTGAACCCTGACTTATGTTATCATGTTCTTTCTCTGAAGTAAAATAACTAGAGGTGGATTGTAGTGTTGAACTGTAGAACTATTCTGTGTTCGCTTATTTATTTGTTTTCTATTTTTCCGAGTTGCATGTTTGAGAATATTTTCTAAAACTGTTTCAAGCATAACATGTAGTAACTAGATTCATTACCTATAGTACATGTAGACATTACCAGTTTATTTTCTGATACATGTATATTATTTTCAGCACCATTCAATTATTATTAAAGCTGAAATACACGTCTTCACTCTTGTTTCCATAGACTTTCATTTCCAGTGTAGTTCAAGTCAGTATATGATTAAAGAACAGCAAGTGTACAGCATTAAAATTATGTATCACAACATAATACTTGAACGCACTAATGTCGCCAAGAAGCAAGCAATTGATAGAAGTTATTATTGTGTAAATACTAAAAGGACTGTAGAATCAAAGGTATTATAGGGATTAGGAATTCGCATTATTGAAAAGGACAGCCTT